CCCTACCATTGGCTTGTGAAGGGTCGTTTACACTCCTCCCCTGGCCACATTTTTTACTTTGTATTTTACTTTTGTAACTTAGCATTATGCCCACTTTATGAAATGGACATAACAAAAAGACAAGAAAAGATGAAATGAACTAGAGTGTGGGAGGAATCTGTGCCCGCCACCCAACTACCTATAGGCAGGTAAATTTCAGAGAGTCCAACTGCACTGGACAAATCAGGGTCGTGTCAAACTAACTACTGCCCCCCCTCTCTTCTTTACACCGATGATTTTCCCCATGGTTTATGGGGAAAGACAAAATTAGATGAGCAACTTGAATATAAATGCAGCATCAATTGCCACTGAGTAATCAATGACTGATCTCCCCAGAATGTTGCAAATAGTTTTTGTAAAATGTTGCCCCTGGTTTGGCTCAGTGGATAGAGCATCAGCCTGCAGACTCAAGGGTCCCAGGTTTGATTCCGGTCAAGGGCATGTACCTTGGTTGTGGGCACATCCCCAGTAGAAGGTGTGCAGGAGGCAGCTGATCGATGTTTCTCTCTCATTGATGTTTCTAACTCTCTATCCCTCTCCCCTCCTCTCTGTAAAAAATCAATAAAATATATTTTTTTAAAAAATGTGAATAAACGCTGTGGGGTTAGAGTCAGAAGAGGAAGCACATGGTAGGGCCTTTGACCTTGGCATGTTTGTCATTACATTCCCTGAGGTTCAGTTTCTCTACGTGTAAACATACCTTTCTCTACAGTGTGAAGAAAGAACACTGCTACTTAAATGAAAGGTCATATCTGAGGATGCGGTGAAAGCTCTCCCACACCATACAATTTGTTGTGGAGGAAGATGCTGAGCCCCACGACCAGTTACCCCCAGCCTCCACTCTGCTCCTGTACAAACAGCATTGTTTTCTGTGTTTTCTTGCCCTAAAGAAGGTTGGGAGCACAGTCCAATACAGTGTATTTCACAACCTCTGTCTCCTTTCATTCTCCCAGCCATTCGTTACCCCTCACTTCACAAACAAGGAACCTGGAGTTAGCGAAAGGTAGTGGAACATTCCAAGGTCATGGGGAATAATTAGAAGAGCCAGGACAGGCTCCCACGCCTTCCCTTCTTTCTCTTCCGATCACCTCCTTTTCTTCTTTCCTTTCCTTTCTCCTTTCATCCTTTGTTTATGCTTTTTAGTAAATTGTGAGCATACTTTAATTTTAGAACAGACAGTGACATAAAGAGAAATAAAATCTATTTTTTTATTCTAATGGAAAATTTGAAAAGTGGAAAAACATCACCCAACCTACCAACATCAAAATATAAATAAAACTGATTTACATTTTAGTGATTTCTATTCTGTCCCTCTCACCCTTAGTTTTTGCATATCGAGTGGTTGTGGTTCTTGGTTTTGTTTTGTTTTTCCTGTTTTAAACATACTATATATACAGGTTTGTATTTTACTTTTGTAACTTAGCATTGTGACTTCAATATTTGCCTCTGTTGCTTAATTTTTGGAGACATCATTTTAATCACCAAGTAATATTCCTCAATAATGTCCTGTCGCATGGGTAAACTGTAAGTATAAGCATTGAACATGTAAGTTTCAAGTTCAAATTTTCTGATTATCATTTCTTTACTGTTTCCACTATACCATGCTGTGTTACTAGAATTGGTGGCATATTTTATCCCAATTGTACATGAAATTCTTGATGTTATAGCATTCAAGGCAAACAGGTGGTTAAATGAAAAACAGGTTCTTCAAAGTCAAAAAATAATGTTTACAATATTTATATTCTCTGAACCTCAGTCACCTTTTCTGTACAGTTATTCCCAATCCCATCACAGAGGGAGCCCCTGTGATAACCCAAAAGATTAACACAGCAAACTTGAATTTCCAAAACCATGATTTCATGAAAATTACCTTATTGAGTTTTCTTTGGTAATATAAAATTTCAACCCCAGAATTTCTAAAGGAAATCACTTAGAGAGACAGTAAAAATAAAATACGAAAAGTAAAAATAAAATAAAAATTGTAAATTGGGGCCCCTCCACCGCAACCACAGCGTCACATACTTAGCAACACATTTTTAAACAGAAAGAAAGATGGTTCCCTTTTTTCCAATATTGTCTTTCTCTTCTTTTTCCCAATAGAACTCCTGGTGATTTATCCATCGCACACCCCGCCTAATCTTAATGAAAGGTAATAGTTTTCTTTTTGGGTAAATCAAGTGGAAATTCATGCTCAGGGATGTTTCCGGAGCCCTTAGCTTTCCAAAGATGAGGAGTGGAGGAAGGAGAAGTGGGATGCAGGGAGCAGGTCCCCTGAGGAAGGAGGGGTTCAATCAGGGTGAGGGCTCTTGGAAATCACACACAAAGGACCTCCCAGTGCTGCTCCCCTCTGCCACTCAGTCACTCACAGAGTCTGGCAGCCAGAACTACAGAGATGGAAGGGCAGGGGGACTGAGTCTGAGCTGGAGAGAGAGAGCAAAGGGCCCACGGGCAGTGCCCGTGGTGAGTAGATGAATGAATGCCCAAAAGGAAGTTGCAATCTTCCTTGCTCGGACATACTTCCAAAGTCTAAATGATCGTTCAATGAGTAGTCATTAAACTGCCACACAGCTTGGCACACACTAGACAGTCAATAACATACCTATGGGATCAATGATTAAAATGCCTTAAATGTGCTCAGCCCTGTGGAAACCTGTGGAGGGAGGGGGGCGGGGGGGGAGATACATAAGACTTCTGGTTCACAGTCTTGGTCCTTGAGTCTGGGGCTCTACAATCCCTTCCCAAAGCATGATTATTTATCTCCACTGGAAAATGGGTTGACACTAGATACAAAGAAAGCACAAAGCCAGTTGGTTACAGTGAGAGGCAGGAATAAAATCCCAGCCCTGCGGCATTGGGAAGCAACAGATTACAACGTGAGGGCCCAGGGCTCCACACAGGGGTACCCCTCGGCCTGACAAGGCTGGCCTCCTCTCCTGCTCTCCACTGGCCCTTCCATTCCATGCTTCACACTTCCAAAGGCACAAACACATGGATCTGACAGGATCACCCCACCAGGGCAATGTATAAGAGGGAGTGGCTTTTCAAAGGCCCCCCATCGCCTCAGTTACTGACACTCACAGGCCATTAAGCAATGTGGCAGCGAAGGGCCCGACAGTGCAGTGACCATGGGGAAGGCTCTGCTTGAGAACAGGAACTCCAGAGCCTGGGTTTGAATCGCAGCTCCTCCACGCAGCCAGCTGTGTGCTGCAGGGCAACCACTTAATATCCCTATGCCTCGGTTTTCTTATCTGAAATATGGCGACAGTGGGTTTTGGCCTCACGGGCTGTGGTGAGAATAGATGAGTATGAACTCGTGGGGCCACTGAGGACAGTGGTCAGCGCGCAGGGCACGCCAGTGAGTGCTGAGGCCCTTTGTTGTTCTCTGTTCTGCGCCCACGAGCCCACATGGGAACTTAGCATGCCCAGGATGAGGATCGTGGTTCCCGGCCAGCTTTATGCCAAGCACACCCACCGTCCTGTCCTTTCTCCATAGGTTAGCTGAATGGGTTTTCTGTTCCCGGGGTCCTGCGGAACACGTGGCGATCAGAGAGGTCTGTCCGTGTGCTCTGTGGCTTGGGTCCCCAGAGTCCCGGTCTGAACCTTGGGTGCTCAGACAGGCCCTGGATTTTCCTCACACGAGGTTGCTGAGAGAATGAACCCTCCACAAACCCCTTTAGGCAAGAGGCATTACACTCACGTTGGTTAAGGTAGGGAGTGGGAAAAGAGAGCAGATTCAAGTCAAGTGTTTCCTGGGTCCCTTATAAATAGGAAGGCTCCCTCTCCCACTCCACAACCACCCCCTAAAGGTCCCCAAGCACATGCCAGGCCCCTTCCCCTCTCTAAGGCGGCCTGGAACCACCCATGCTGCCTGGGGCCCAGGAGTCAGTGGGCCCCCCTTTGTACTCTCCCCATGGCTGATGGGCCAGGGAGCAAGTGTTTGTCCCAGGTTGGTGGGTGCTGAGGCCACAGCGAGCCCTGGCAGGTGCCCCAGAAGGCCCTGCAATGTCCCAGACTGAGGCAGTCATGGCAGGGAGGGTGCTAAGCAAATGTACACAGAGATGGAGATGACCAGCGCAGCCCGCCATTGCCTAAGTATAGTCCCTCTGTTGTTGGTGGCTGTGACCTCTCAAGGTCCTTTCAGGAGGGTTTGCATGATCTCCTTGCCTCTCAGTGGGCACCTGGGGACTGAGGCAGGGCAGACATTCTCCCACTAGAACAGTGAGGGCGAACCTATGACACGTGTGTCAGAGGTGACACGTGAACTCATTTTTTTAAAAATATATTTTATTGATTTTTTACAGAGAGGAAGGGAGAGGGATAGAGAGTTAGAAACATCAATGAGAGAGAAACATCGACCAGCTGCCTCCTGCACACCTCCTACTGGGGTGTGCCTGCAACCAAGGTACATGCCCCTGACTGGAATCGAACCTGGGACCTTTCAGTCCACAGGTTGACGCTCTATCCACTGAGCCAAACCGGTTAGGGCGTGAACTCATTTTTTTGGTTGATTTTTCTTTGTTAAATGGCATTTAAATATATAAGATAAATATCAAAAATATAAGTCTTTGTTTTACTATGGTTGCAAATATCAAAAAATTTCTATATGTGACACGGCACCAGAGTTAAGTTAGGGTTTTTCAAAATGCTGACACGCCGAGCTCAAAAGGTTCACCATCACTGCACTAGAAGGACAGAGCCCAGAAGAGACTCCTGACCTGGTTTTGAGGCCTGGAGCAGGGCAAGAGTTGACACTGTGTCCACTAATTCTTAAGGCCTGCAGTCACCTGGCTAGGACCCAAGCATCTTGCCAGGTGACCCAGGGGCCCCTTTCAATGGTACATCCTGGGAACAGCCGCTCTGCCCCAGCCCACTGGCCAGCACAGACCCAGGCACACCCACGGAGTGGCACAAGACCCGCCTGGAACGCCCACAGATGCTGAAAGAGAACAGCTTTGTGGTGGTGTCTCCTGGATGTAAAGAGCCTCCTCCTCTCTCCCTCAGCCTCTTCACCAGCAGCCCCTTCCCTGCTGCTCCTGCCTCAGGAACCCTGACCCAGGCAGGGAGGCCTGGCTCAGGAAGGGCTGCTGAACTCTGTACTTCCCCTATGAGAATGACAGCAGCCAGCATTGCCCCCACCCTCATTTGCCCTCACCTGGTCCCTTCTACCCTGTGAGTCCCCCATCAGGGATGGGCAGAAGTCTGCAGGCTGGAGAGCAGCCACCACTACCCCAACTTCCCAGCAGGCCGTGCATGGATGCCTACCTGGCCCCTGCTGGGAAGTTGACTGAACCCTGTGCTCCCCTCTGACAGAAGCCCAGCTGCTGCCGTCTCTCCGGTGAACACCCTCCTCACCGCCACTCCTCCCACCTTTGAACCTGCCAGCACGTCTCCTCACTCTGCCAGGAAGACTTTTATCGCCTTCAAGGAGGATGCTAGAAGATCTCGGCCCTCGCAAGACCAGGGCACGCAGACAGAGGGCGCCTATGAGACTCACGGTAAGGGAACTGGCACCTGCTGCCCAGTCCCTGCTGCCTGGCCCAGCAGGGCTCTCTGAGGGG